TAAAAGCATTATATTGTGTCTTGAGTTTTATTAATAACATCATCTGTTTATATTTATTTTCTTATTATTTACATTTACTATTATCTATTTCTCTTTTATTATTTATATGTATTTGTATTTGTATTTTCATGGAATTATTATATTTACTAACATTATAATGCTTTTATTATTTATTGTAAACTTTAGAATCTTGGAAATTCATTTATTTTACAATCTACAACTTTATTATTGGCATTTTATAGAAATCTTATGGTTATTTATCTTTCTAGTTGTTTTTACTATATATTGATATTTATTTATCGTTTATTATTTACCTATACTTTTTTTAATTTGTATGTTCATGGAATTATTAATAACATCATCTTGTTAAATGTATTTTTCTTTATTTCTATTTTACAATTATTTTACTTTAAGATTCATATTAGTTTCCTATCTTTTTATTACTTATTGTAAACTGATGATGATAGAAATCTTATGGTTATTTATCTTTCTAGTCTTTTATTATGTATTATTTACCTTTCTATTTCTATTTTATAAAAATTTTTACTTTAAGATTCATATCATTTTCCTATCTTTTTATTATTTATTGTAAACTGATGATGATAGAAATCTTATGGTTATTTATCTTTCTAGTCTTGTACTATTTATTTTGTTTGTTCCTGCTGTCAAGGATTTTACGGATAAGATCTAAGCCAGCCTGACCCCCCTCCCCTAACTTAAACACCACTCCCAACTGCCTCCCAATCACGGCCAACAGGCAACCTCCTGGCCAAGTGAGGCTGGTGATGCCGGGGATGCGGCAAGCCAACCAACTGACCGACCAACTGACCCACCAACTTACCAACTGACCGACCGACCGACCGACCGAGTGACCGACCGACCGACCGAGCGAGCGACCGACCGACCAACCACACAAACACGGAATCACAAAAACACACACAACCAACCAAAGCACCGCAAACAAACTAACAAACATGCAAGCAAGCACTCATTCAAGCAAACAAAGAATGGTTTCCATTTGTTAACAAAAAAGACAACCAGCAAGAAAGCAAGCAAGCAACCAAACACACAGCAAAGAAGCAAAGCAAGCAAAACAATCAAAGCAATAAAGCAAGCAACACAACCGAACAAATGCACACGCACATAAACATGAACAAAACAAACACACACCCACACACAAACACACAACGGGCAAACCCACTCACACACACCCACACCAAGACCGCACAAACAAACCCACACACACACACAAACACACAAACATATATACATATAAAAAATACATGCTCACCCGTCCACCCACATATGCATGCAGGCACGCAAGTAGGTATGCAAGTACGAAAGCATAATTCAATTGACCGGTAGGGTGCAAGTCGGGTCATTTGGTGGCTGTCAAATCGACCGCGTGTCGTGCCTCTGGCCAGCCGAAGCGATTGGCCAAGACCTCCACCAGCGCCTCTATGCCTCGAGGCGTCGCGCCAGGTGTCGACTGGTGAGGGGTACTAGGTGCGCCATGCATCAAACAATGAAAGTGGGAGTTGTAAAGCGCATGCTGCCTTCTTGCTAGGTGGTTTGGGGTGTTGCCCAAACGGTGGGCTTAGCAACGTGCAAGGCAGGCAAAACGAGGCGGCTGCCCCGTCGCTTGGAATCCTCGGACTTGGCGCCCAGGAAACCATCGGGTGTCCTCGCGGGAGCAGCTGTGTCCACGCCGTGCATTTACGAAAAACCCGACCGCAAGTCGGCTTTCGGACCAATGCAAAAAACCGAACGGGTGTGAAATAATGGAAAAGGAGTCCACCCAAATCGCTTCTTACTTATGTTCTTTCTTTTTGCGTTAGCCTGTTGGGCTGCTTAGGGGAACCAGAAGGGACGCGTGAGGGATTCCCCGTTTGGAGCACTTCCCCTGGGACTCCCTAACGGTCACTCTGCCCGAGATCAAGTCGAGGTCCAGCCGGTGTGATTTTTGAGGGTCAGGATTGTTCCATGGAAGTCAGAATGGAAGACACATTTTTTGAGGTTCTTGGTGCATACCCATGTGAGCAGTGCAGAAAACCATGAACTTTGCCAAGATAAGGCTCAAGCCACAAGCCTGGATATGCCTCCAGGTACTAAATTTGGTGGCCATAGATTGTGGGCACCCATTTGTTGAAGGCGCCGTGCCGTGCCTGTAGATCTGCTCTGCAAGCCCTTGCTGATCGATCCGTAAGGAACCACCTTTCAGGCGTCTGGAACGGCCATCAAGTTCCGCGAAAAAATCTTACTCAGCCCGACTTGCTCCCACACCTCAAGATGGCGGCGCCATAGGTGTAGCAAAGGTCCCTGTACCGCTTGTAGCTTTGGTCCTTGCGACAATGGCTTGCCTGGTTTCACAAGCGCGCGGGCCTTCTGTGTACCGTGCTTACAATCAACCTGGATGTTTTACGCAAGCACATAAAACTTGATACTGACTAACTCAGCAATCTCATGAACGACGCCTCGGCCTTGAAATCATTGATCATCAAGAATAAGAATAGTTGTTGTGTCTTGCTAATCGCTTTTCTCCAGTTGACAAATTCTTTAGCGGCTTTCGTGTGGATGAGATTCGGAAGCTCTCCTACAGTCGAGCACTGGGGGAATACCAAACCAAACGACCCATGCTTCTTCTCAAGTCACTCCCATTCACGCATACACATCTTGTGGCAAGGCCACAGTGCAAACTGATGGTCCAGCCGAAAACTCTGAGTCAAGGGCTAGGGACTTGACCTCGGCCGAAAGTGAAAAAAACAGTGCCAAACGCGCCAACTGGCATGTCGGGAAAGGATGGAAAAAGTTATCACAACCGACCAATGGCTGTCTAAATTCATTCTGAGACACGTATAGAGACATCGGAGGGTCGCAAAAAGGATCCAAAGAGGGCCACCAATTTGAGGTGTCAAAACTCCTGTATGGAAGTTACCCAAAAATACAAGTTGGATGGCAAAGAGGCTCCTGCTTCTTCGTTTTAGCTTGGGACCCTAAGCAAAACCGGTCTGAGGGGCTGTTCCGTACCTTGGCAACAAAGAAATATCCAGTTCTACCAACATGGTACATAGAGGTTCAAATAAGCTGTAAAACATCCTCAAAATGGTTTGGGGGTTAACTTAACAGCTAGCAAACCAAACTGATCACACGCCCCGCCTCCCGCTCAAGCTCCTGTGATCTGGCCGTGGCCGTCTGTTCCTCACCCTGCGCTGGCTTCGGCTGGAGCTCATAATGCATGCAACCAGGCCCGTTCTTACCAACCAATCTACCAACCTGGCAACATGCTACAAAACATCAGCTCACGGTTCAAGGGTTCCCGGCCCTGAGGGTCCAATAGTTGCTTACAAACATGTCAGCGACGGAAATGATTACTCGCTAGCCCATACAACCTAAAAATGCAGGTAAACTAGACCCGGCTCAGAACAACCAAAGAGTTGAACAAAAAAACGACGACGACGACGACGACGACGACGACCACACCAACACCAACACCAACACCAACACCACCAACACCAACAGCACCAACACCAACACCACCACCACCACCGCCACCGCCACCGCCACCGCCACCGCCAACAACACCAACAACACCAACCACAAGCAACAACCACTCGCAACAACCGCAACCAACACCAACACCAACACCAACACCACCACCAACACCAACACCAACACCAACACCAACACCACCACCAACACCATCACCACCACCACCACCACCACAACAACAACAACAACAACAACCACCACAACAACAACAACAAGGTGCCGCGCGGTGGACGCGGCCTGTGGTTTTTGTCAGTCGATTGGCCAACGCCGAAGCTCAAAACCTGCCTTTTTCTTCGTTTCAGACGAAATTTTGGGCGTTTTTCCCGTTGAGCGGGTGCGCTTCAGCGGGTGTTCTTACCATGTGCCTGGCATGAATACAGTGCTGAGCGGGCGCACTTGAGCGGGTGTTCTTACCATGTGCCTGGCATGGATACAGTGCTGAGCGGGTGCGCTTGAGCGGGTGTTCTTACCATGTGCCTGGCATGGATGCAGTGCTGAGCGGGTGCGCTTGAGCGGGTGTTCTGACCATGTGCCTGGCCTGGATACAGTTCTGAGCGGGTGCACTTGGGCGGGTGTTCTTACCCTGCCTGGCATGGACAGTGCTGAGCGGGTGCGCTTGAGCGGGTGTTCTTACCATGTGCCTGGCATGGATACAGTGCTGAGCGGTACAGTGCTGAGCGGGTGCACTTGAGCGGGTGTTCTGGCCATGTGGACACCGTGCTGAGCGGGTGCACTTGAGCGGGTGTTCTTACCATGTGCGTGGCATGGGTACAGTGCTGAGCGGGTGCACGTGAGCGGGTGTTCTGACCATGTGCCTGGCATGTTGAGCGCAGTCATTTGCAACATGGGTACAGTGCTGAACGAGGTGCACAGTGATTTGCACAGGCCGCCAAGAATAAACGTCACCAACAACAACCACCACCACCACCAACACCAACAACAACAACAACTAAAAATTAAAGGACCGGATAACCCCACATGCTATGTTTTTCCCAAATGTCCACACACATGTACCGTGCGCCCCTTGTATGGATGCGATTACAGAGCACCCAGATGCACAGAATGCAGCGCCTGCCACGACTGCGGCAACGGCATCGCCAAAGTGCTGCGCCTGCCACGATTTCGCAACGGCATCGCCAAAGTGCTGCGCCTGCCACGATTTCGCACGCCCCCCGCCGCGCGCGCGACAACATCCTGTCCCTCTAGACAGCTGCCGAATGCGACCCCTGCCACACAAACACACACCCAGATGCACAGAATGCTGCGCCTGCCACGACTTCGGCAACGGCATCGCCAAAGTGCTGCGCCTGCCACGATTTCGCAACGGCATCGCCAAAGTGCTGCGCCTGCCACGATTTCGCACGCCCCCCGCCGCGCGCGCGACAACATCCTGTCCCTCTAGACAGCTGCCGAATGCGACCCCTGCCACACAAACACACACCCAGATGCAC